CACACACACACACACACACACACACACAGCTGAATCTCTGGCCAAATCAGTCTTGTTTTGGTCACACTCAGGTTGTGCTGACCAGATGGCCACTCTCTTGGGGAGTGTGTATGTCAGTGTTTGCACATTGTGTGTGTGTGTGTGTGTGTGTGTGTGTATACGAAAGCCTTTCCAAATGCTCACAGCGGGTTTGTGCTGTAGACGAGGAAGGTGCCACTGTGAACATGATGTATCGTAAGTCAGACCTCACCAAACCTCCACACAGGAGCCCTGGAGAACAGATTGCAAGTAGGTGTTAATTCACAACGGTGCATACAGAAATCAAAGGGAACGGTCACTGTACATCAGACTTCTTTGTCGGACACATGATTTATTCTTCCTTAAAAATGTATCATCCTAAGAATCTTACCGTGATGAATGGAAGATCAGATTGGCATTATTTAGCTTAGTACCTATTGCAAATTTACAGAGCACAAAAACAATACTCATTTTTCATTTACAGTAACTTTGGAGTCACTGAAAACAGGATGTACAAATAGCAGCCAGAATTGCTTTGATTTTTTCAGGGAACGCAAAAAACAAATCCACAAACGAAACATTCAGAGGATGAATTAATATCCTGAAAAGAAAAGCAAAACACGCTTGGTTTCGCCTAGCTGCCAGATGAGTGCGGATAAACAAACTGCGGAGGGTGCGCATTTGTCCATGGAGAACTTCAAAGAACCGGACCCTCCTTTAGTCATTGTGCAAAGCTATAACTTATATACTGATCCCACCAACCCACGCGGAGGTAGGGAACGTTGACGTGGGTCTTCAAAGTCAGCAGTCATCGACTGCTAAGTCTTAAAAGCAAGTGTTCATATTGTAAATGAGCTCAAATGCACAACGGGTTCCTTAAACTCCAGCAGGACGCTGTCTGAGCATTTGAATGTTGGGTTAGAGACGGATTCGGTCTGATTCGGTTGGCGCCCTGCCTTCTGATTGGTCAGCTAGGCTGAGGCTGTTGGCTATTGCCGTGCATTAGAGGAATTATAAAGACCGAAATGTCGTCTCCAGAGCCGAGCCGGTCTCCGGCGATTCTCCAGCCTTGGTCCCTCAGGACACCTCGGGCCTTCATCACCAGGTCTTGAGCTGCCATTGTGTACCTGAAAAACAACAGAGATGCTATTTAGTGGTTAAAGGGATAGTTCACCCAAAAATGAAAATTCTGTGCGCAAATTGTGCGCAAAGAAAACAATAACAATTTATTCAACAATTCTTCTCCCCGAGTTACCGTCTTCCGCCATTTTGGAGAGTACCCCAGAACGTAATCAACGTAATCAGTGTTGTTTATGTTCAGTAGACAGCGTGCGCATGCTCAACATAAACAACGCTGAATACGTTCTGGGGTACTCTCCAAAATGGCGGAAGATGGTAACTCGGGGAGAAGAATTGTTGAATAAATTATGTTATTATTGTTTTCTTTGCACACAAAAAGTATTCTCGTAGCTTTGTAAAATTACGGTTGAACCACTGATGTCACATGGACTATTTTACCGATGTCCTTGCTACATTTCTGGACCTGGGAACACTGCAGTTGCATTGCCTACGGAGGGTAGGAGAGCTTTCAGATTTTATCAAAAATATCTTAATTTGTGTTCCGAAGATGAACGAAGGACTTACGGGTTTGGAACGACATTAGGGTGAGTAATTAATGACAAAATTTAAATTTTTGGGTGAACTAACCCTTTAATTTTATCGTTCGAAGTTTACTAATAACAGGTTCATCCCTCCAAGAGTAACCTGATGTTAAAGGAACAGTTAACCCAAACTTGAAGATCTAATTTATTCACCTTCAGGTCATTCCAAACCCCTATGACTTTCTGTTTTGCAAAACGTCAGAAGAAAGAAGCCATACAGGTTTGGAATGACATAAGGGTGAATAAATAATGGAATTTTTGGATGATGAAGAAAACAGATATACTGAAGTGTCTTTTATGTGCTTTTGTTCTACAGTAATCGTTCTTGGCTTGAACCTACAACCTTTCAGTTGCCTGCCCAGATCTTCAAAACTAAAGGTTCACAATTGGAATTGAAGGTTCCATGAAGAACCTTTAACATTCTTGGAATCATTCCATTGCACAAAAGGTTCTTTATAGTAGACACATTTTTTTTGATTATTGAAATGTTCTTCACACTAAGAAACCAATGGTTCTTTTAAGAAGTGATAAATGAAAGGTGCTTTGAGGAACCAAAAATGGTTCTTCTATGGCATTGCTTAGAAAACCTCCTTTTGGAACCTTTGTTTCCAACTTCATCTCATATTAAAATCAAAATTACATTTTATTTTACGTTGCTCAAAATAACCCATCATGGTGTACTGTGTTGTCTTCAAGGTTGCATGAGTAGATGGTTGATACTCAACCAAATCCGAGGAACCTACCTGTGCTTGTCATCAGGGTCACAGTTTCCAAGGCAACCAGATACCACCTCTGCCACTTCCTGATTGGACAGCACGTCCCAGAGTCCATCTGTAGCCAGGATCATGACATCATCGGCGCCGTGCTCATACTGAGAGAGGTTATAGATCTTCACCTGTAGAAATGACAACATACTTCAGTCATGTTATATTACATAAACATGGACGTGCACATTCATAGAATTCTGGTTTGACCAGTGTTGGGGAGTAACTAGTTACATGTAACAGAATTACTTAATTGCAAAATAAATGTAACTGTAATCTGTTACAATTACTAAGAAAAAATGACAGTTACTTGTGAAAATGTTAAAGATTACAAAGGGGGTTACATCTGAATATTTTCACACACACACACACACACACACACACACAGTTTATGGGGACTCTCCATAGGCGTAATGGTTTTTAT